AAACCAGCAAACGCTCCATCCAAATTGTTGAATGGTCCGCAGTACAAGGTTACCGCTGATAACAAATCTCCGAAAATCAAAGCCAAGGTCGTTACTCCTGCACAATTGTCCAAGGTAAAGCTAAAGATTCGTATTCGATTTATCGTAAGACAAAGAGGACAAAGACGACGACGTAATATAATCGTGCGATGGAATCAATGTTCCGTAGAAATCAATGTTCGAAGGACTGGAAGAGGAAGATCCACTCTCGGAAGCATTTCAACCTCGTCCAAACGCGAAACGTTTAGTACTACGGCCGAAGCCGATATTGAACTCGATAGTTCCATCACCTAGCGAAAGTTCGCAAATTGTAGGGAAGAATTTACAATGCTCGTCGGTGAAGGGAGGAGGAGGAGGAGGAGGAGGAGGAGGAGGAGGAGGAGAAGAGAGGTCGTCCGTAACGAATTCGTACATGGAGAATACAACTCTGGAAACTATAGACAAAGAAAATCATAGTCGAGAGAACAATCGACAACAGTTGACAAACGATCGAAGATCGTCTTCACCTTGGTTAAAGACGAGCCATCCACGGAACGCAAGCGTAAAAAATTTGGACGAAGAAGCGTTCGTCGATGGACGTCAGCGTTCGTTGTTTTCCAGTCCGTCGAACGCATTCCAGTCCGACGAGATGTTGAACAACACCGTTACGGAGCTGCGGCCTTACGCGAACGCCACTAGTAATAGCAATACTAGTACAGCGTCGAATCAAACAACGTGCTGCGAGATCAATACGTCCGAGATGGACGCGTCTTTGAAGAGCTCGTCTCTCGGTGATTTGAAAATTTGCTCCGCCGACCTGGTGATTCAGCATTCCGACTCGAGCCAAGAAGAGTTGGACGAAAGTTCCTTCTCGACGTTACAAACATCGAATTGGAAGCCGAACGCGGCTAAAGTGACGTTGAAACGCGCAGGTTACTACACGATTCCGCCGCTTGATAAATTAGACGAGTACGTTTGCGGTGAAACGTGCATCGTACGAAATTTCACCGTTGGACGCGAAGATTACGGCAACGTGTATTTCCCCGAATCGTTCGACGTCTACGGCCTAAACTTGGACGAGATAGTACATTTCCGGCACAAAGAGGTCGTCATTTATCCGGACGATGAGAAAAAGCCACCGGTCGGAGAAGGATTGAATCGCAAAGCTCAAGTTACGTTGGATCAAGTATGGCCGTACGACAAGACTCTACACAAGCCTATTACCGATCCTCGCCGACTGGCTGCGATGGACTACGAAGAGAAACTACGGCGAGTATCGGCGAAACACGATACCAGGTTCTTGGAGTATCGACCCGAAACTGGTTCCTGGGTTTTCAAGGTGCGAAGCACGCTTTCATCCTCCCTCAATCCTAATCCTTGCTTTCTCGTCGTTTTATCTTTGATCTTTCTATTCTACATGCGTGTGCGTGTGCGTGTGCG